CACCTTCATATACCTACACGTTATACGCCCACACTGCAGTCGTCCACACTTCACCACAAGTGATGGAAGTCCACATTGTGTTGCGCCCACCTAGAGGCCCTCGTGTAGGTTGAGAGGGGGGGTGTGAGGGGGGGAACGGGAGGATTGAAGACAGGGAGAGAGAGAGAGAGAGAGAGAGAGAGACGAAGGAAGGAAGGAACTCAGGGAGGTAGGGGAGAGAGAGAAAGAGGGAGAATAAATGGAGGAGAAGAAGACAATGGGGGTTAGGGTGACGTGGACGAGACAGGACTGAGGAATGTGTTTGTTTCAATAGTGTCATCTCTCCCTAATGACACTCTCTCAGCATCTTGACACCACTGCCATGACATTGTTTATGACACCTATGATATACTGTTATGACACGGTCGGTTATCTCATGTGACACAACGACATCCTCCCTCTGTTGACACCTGTGACCTTATCTTACGGCACCTACTTCCCTTGACACCAAAATACTGCTACGTGTCATAAGATAGGGTGCCAACTTGTCCAAATATCCTACGTTTCTTAGCTCTTCTCTTTCTTTCTTTGTAATACAACATAAATACTAATTCCTAAGTAAATTTGAAGTCATAAACAGCATTCCATTATAAAACTCACAATAAACTTAATTTTAACCTGACAACATGTGTTAAAATTATCCCAGACACAGAAAAAAAACCCCTTATTACTAAGTCCTAATTAGTTTAACCCTGATGATAAGGTTATACAGGATGTCCCAAAAGTCACTTAATTACAGTACGTTTTGGGACACCCTGTATTATGAAGTGAATGTATGCTATTTTGTCATGAACTGAAACAGTTCACTTTAATATGTATAAAGTAAATAAAATGAATTAGATCTCCAGTGAATCACCTAACACACAAAAATTAACTCATTATTCACTCAACAGATGGCGGTGATTTAGCTTATCCTTAAAATATGGTGAAATATAATGACTAATAACTAACAGATGGTATAATGTAACTAAGAGATGGAAGTCATTGAGCTTATTCTGAGAAACTTATATGAGGAATTTAACCAACAGATGGCGCTGTTTAACCTTTTTGTATCAAGTACCTTAACCCTTTCACAGCGGGAGTTTACCCAAGCTGAATAAAATCGTCTGGTAGTTGCCGGAATAAGATGGCAAGTGCGTGACATGCAGTGAAAGGGTTAACGAACGATCAATAGATAACATTAAGTCGGTAAAATTTGAGGTAGACTGCGTCAGTGATTCAGTCAGTAAGTCAGTCTGTCAGTCTGTCAGTCAATTAAGACAAACTTGAACCAAATAGTACAGTCACCGGCGCTATGATTGGTCCAATTTTTAACATTACCTGGACTTTGATTGGTTGATTGTCTTTATCCAGAACAGAAAGAGAGAGAGAGAGGGGGGGCAGACAGAGTGACAGAGAACTAAAGGAAGACGTTACCCACTGAGCAACAGTAAATCAGTCAACATCACCAGCCATTGAGTTGACCATCTTAGTCGCATATAATGAAGACTACGACCAACAGATGGCGCTGATGCCCTATACAGACATCACTTTAGCGGAAGGAATGAGCTTGCCAGTCTTAGTATGAGTGTGAAGGAGACTCGGATTACACTTAATTTGTTGTGTAGTGACAGCCACGTCGAATAAAGTTTAGAACAATCATGGTGGCTAATTTCAGAGACAAAGTGAGTAGAGGATGAAGGGTGAGGGATAAAGAAGAGATGAAGAGGAAGAGAGTGAGACTAACGGAGGTAGTAAGAGAGAGAGAGAGAGAGAGAGACAACTCCCTTTCCTCTCCTCCCTGATGGATACATACATACATACATACAGACAGACAGACATAGACACACACCCCTCACCCCCCCCAAAAAAAAACAATAGACCAAATTTCTCTTCATTAAAAGTAAATTAAAAAATAAAGTTAATAGTCATCGCCTTTTATGGTTCGCTATTATGACGTTTTAGAGTGATGTGTGCCAACGTTCTTCTTGCTGTTTTTATGTCATTCTTCTTCCTCCTCTCATTCTTAGCTCATTATCTTCCATCTACATCTTTATCTCTCATTCTTCTGTTATTTCGTTCATGTTTTGTGATTTCTTACATTTATCATTCTTATCGTCTGTTATTTCTTAATCTTCCTCTTATTTATCTGTTATTCTGTTGTTTTTCTGTGTGTGTGTGTGTGTGTGTGTGTAATAATAATAAAACATCACCTTTAACACACACAAAACACATATAATTAGTATCATTTATCTCTGAACACCTGTATCACGTTATACAGGTAATACTGATAGGGAGAAATACGGAGTAATACAATGAACCATCCCACACAGACGAGGAGTATTGTTGTGACGCTACGAAGAGAAGTATTTACGACACTAAGATAGGAAACCTTGTATTGTGTGATGTCCTTGTAATGAAGACGAGGTGGATGATGCCAGGAGATTATTATAAGATATTTAAAGAACGAGAATATCTAGGCTGTGTTGACTGGTACAATAGAGTTAACTGAATGATTGATGGTAGAAATTTATCGTTTATGTGAGTTTTCATCATTGGTAGTGAATGGAACTAGGTTATACTTGTATGATAATATAGACTTAAGATCCGTGTTTGATGCTTTTTGTAGTGTTTAAGGGGGGTGGGGGGGGGGTTATTGGACGTGTTTTGTATAGGTGACGATATCAACAAGGGGAATCTGTGTTGCTTGAAGGATGGGATGGATGGATGGAAAGATGTGTAGAAAGAAAGAAGTGAGCCTTGGGGTATGCCAGTACAGGGGAGAGAAAATAAGAACCATCCAAAATTACATCGATTTGATAGAGAGAAGAAAATCTGGACTCCAGGATTTTATGGAATCAGGTTAACCACGATTGAATTTTTTGGAGTTTGAGATGAAGGAATTAATTTGAGGAGGATGAGGAGGAGGTGCAAGATGAAGGGACAGGGCAATTGACAGAAGAATTTACCAGTTACCAAGGAAGAGACGGTAACTGTGGGTGGCGTAGTAAGAAACAGAGACAGAAGGAATGTTTACTCGTCTCCAAGGTGATCAGGAATTCAAATTGAGTCTGTCACTAACTGGGTAAAGTCATTAAGAATGGAAAGTGAGTGTTCCTGCTTCAGTCCTGTCTCCATCTATTTGAGGAGAGAGAGAGACAGAGAGAGAGAGACAGAGAAAGAGAGAACCAGGGTATATCTTGTTAACTTTGTAATCACCCAAAGACGAAATATTCAGAAATGATTGATGGAAAAATATCCTCACAATAGTTTATAAGCCAAGGAACCAAACATAGACTTGGATTAACATGGTTGGATTAATAGATACAACTCGGATTAGTTATTGGTGGGATTTAAAAGCTAAAGCTATAACACAAGAATTTGTTTATCTTCCTTTAGTAGCGACAAAAGAAAGAAAGAAAGAAAGAAAGAAAGAACAAAGAGAAAGATCAAGAAGAGAAGAACGAAGAATGAATATAGTTCCGAGTTCTAAAGACTGAGACTCAGACGAAGAGTAAACAAGGAGAGTAAACACGGGAGGAGGAGACGATGAGGAGAGAGAGAGAGACACACACACACACACACACACACACACACACATCACCTGGGCACTGTAAAGAGGAAGGATAAAAGTTATTATTATGATGACCTAAATTAACTGTTGGACCCCATCACCTCTTGTGAAGGAAAGAGGTGGAGGGAGCTTTGATGGGGGAGGAAGAGGGTGGAGGAGGCTTTGATAGAAGGAGGAAGAGGGTGGAGGAGGCTTTGATAGGTGGGAGGAAGAGGGTGGAGGGGGCTTTGATAGAAGGAGGAAGAGGGTGGAGGAGGATTTGATAGGGGTGGGAGGAAGAGGTGGAGGAGGCTTTGATAGAAGGAGGAAGAGGTGGAGGAGGCTTTGATAGGTGGGAGAAGAGAGGGTGGAGGCTTTGATGGGTGGGAGGAAGAGGGTGGAGGAGGCTTTGATAGGGGGAGGAGGTGGAGAGGCTTTGGGGTGGGAGAGAGGGTGGAGAGGCTTTGATAGGGAGGAAGAAGAGGGTGGAGGAGGCTTGATAGAAGGAGGAAGGATAGAGAAACAAAGAAATGTGGGGTTGAAACACACACACACACACACACACACACACACACACACACACACACACACACACACTAGGTTGTTACAGTAGAGGTAATTACTTCAAGGACTGACATCACCTGAGGTCCTTCATCACTAACAAGGGAGGGAGGCAGGGGTGAGGGAGGATGACAGGTCAGGAGGGCGATGGGTGAGGTGACGGGTCAGGGGGAGGGCGAAGGGTTGAGGGTGACAGGTCAGGAGGGCAGAAGGGTGAGGTGACGGGTCATGGAGGGCGAAGGGTGAGGATTGATGGGTCAGGGAGGGCGATGGGTGAGGTGACAGGTCAGGGAGGGGCGAAGGTGAGGTGACGGGTCAGGGGGAGGGCGATGGGTGGGTCAGGGAGGGGCGATGGGTGAGTGACGGTCAGGGGGGAGGGCGAAGGGTGAGGAGTGACGGGTCAGGGAGGGGCGAAGGGGGAGAGGAACGGGTCAGAGGGGCAGAGGTGAGGTGACGGGTCAGGGAGGGGCGAGGGTGAGGAGTGACGGGTCAGGGAGGGGCGATGGGTGAGGAGTGACGGGTCAGGGGAAAAGAGAGAAGGAGTGACGGGAGAGAGTGAGAGACAGAGGTGAAAAAGTGAGTAACAAAGAGAGAAGCAAATGATGGGAAAGATGGAAAAGGGAAATAGAGAAGTAAAGGGACACAAGAGAGGGGAGATGGAAGTAATAACAACAGAGGGAGAAAAATCTATAACATGAGAGAGAGAGAGAAAGAGAATAAGGAAGAGTAATATGAAGAAAGAAAGAACATGAGGACAGAAACAAACAAATGAAAGAAAGGAAAATGAAAGAAAATAACTAAGGGAGGAAAATAGAAGGGAAAAAAGATACCTTATAATTTCCTAACACTTTTCTCCCACTCTTTACAGGGGTGTTAAGAGTGACGTCACGAGCGCCGCCATCTTTACTTCCTACCTGGTAATGTTACGTCTTCTTATTCTTGCCTCTTTATCTTACTATGTCCCATACACCTTAGTTATCATGTTGTCTTATTGTTTACATCTTCACAGCTGATGTTGTTATTATTATTTCTTTCTTTGGGTTTTTTGTTTTGTATATTTATTTTTTTTTTTAGATTTGATTGTTATTATTTGTTGTTTTGTTTTTATTTTTTAGTAGTAGTAGTAGTAGTAGTAGTAGTAGTAGTAGTAGTAGTAGTAGTAGTAGTTGTTATTGTTTATTTAACTGCTGTTGTTTATTATTATCATTATTATTATTATTTAATTATTATTATTATTATTATTATTATTATTATTATTATTATTATTATTATTATTATTATTATTATTATTATTATTATCATTATTATTATTAATTATTATTATTATTATTTATTTCCTCGTAGTATGAGTATAGACAAGGCTGCTCCCTGTCCCTAACTCTTGACAACATTTATTCCCAAGTCTTAATGAGACAAGCTGTAGGTAGAGTCAGGTGAATAAAACTTAATGGCAAAGCAATATCTAAAAACACTCAATATGCAAATACTACTTTTATTGTCACTAGTACAGAGACATTACAACACTCTTCAGTAAATTATCGTGATATGCTGAGAAAATGGTGTAATGGTGTAATGGTGAAGGTATTATGCAGGTAAGAGAGGTTTTAAATAGGTGGGTTTTTATTTTATTTGGAAAGTGATTTAGATTATGATGGTAGATGTGTGATTTAAACCTTTGAGTACGATGATTAAACCTTAGTACGATGACTTAAACCCTTGAGTACAATGACACTTGCAGGTACGATGACTTAAACCTTTGAGTACGATGACTTAAACCCTTGAGTACGATGACTTAAACCTTTGAGTACGATGACAACTTCCAGTACGATGACTTAAACCTTTGAGTACGATGACAAAACCCTTGGTACAATGACAACCCTTAGTACGATGACTTAAACCCTTGAGTACAATGGCTTAACTTTGGTACGATGACAAACCTGAGTACGATGACAACCCTTGGTGCAATGACAACCCTTCGGTACGATGACTTAAACGACCTAGTACGATGACCAAACCTTGAGTACGATGACAAACCTTTAGTGCGATGACAAACTGATTACGATGACTTAAATATAAATACACTAACCTCTTCTCTGGATTAAGTTGAATATACACAAAGGGTTTAAAAAATATATATTAAAAGGGGATAAAATAATCTTCGTGTGAGGTAACGGCTGCTGAAATATTAGGTCCACACACACACACACACACACACACACACACACACACACACACACACGATTATAAACTGACAGACAGACATAGAGACAAGTAATCAACACGTCATCCCATCTACAGTAAAAATTTCAAACTCGACACCAGTAGTTAACCAGTCATAACCTGTGGTGGAGTGCCAGGGTGGTGGTGGAGTGCCAGGGTGGTGGTGAGTGCAGGGTGGTGGTGGAGTGCCAGGGTGGTGGTGGAGTGCAGGGTGATGGTGTAGTGCCAGGGTGGTGGTGGAGTGCAAGGGGGTGGTGGAGTGCCAGGTGGTGGTGGAGTCAGGGGTGGTGGTGGAGTGCCAGGTGGTGGTGGAGTGCCAGGGTGGTGGTGGAGTGCAGGGTGGTGGAGTGCCAGGGGTGGTGGTGGAGTGCCAGGGTTGGTGGTGGAGTGCCAGGGTGGTGGTGGAGTGCCAGGGTGGTGGTGGAGTGCCAGGGGTGGTGGTGGAGTGCCAGGGGTGGTGGTGGGTCTGGGGTGGTGGTGGAGTGCCAGGGTGGTGGTGGAGTGCCAGGGGTGGTGTGCCAGGGTGGTGGTGGAGTGCCAGGGTGGTGGGTGGAGTGCCAGGGTGGTGGTGGAGTGCCAGGTGGTGGTGGGTGCCAGGGTGGTGGTGGAGTGCCAGGGTGGTGGTGTAGTGCCAGGGTGGTGGTGGAGTGCCAGGGTGGTGGTGGGTGCCAGGGGTGGTGGTGGTGCCAGGTGGTGGTGGGTGCCAGGGGTGGTGGTGGAGTGCCAGGGTGGTGGTGGGGTGCCAGGGGTGGTGGTGGGTGGGGTGGTGGTGGGTGCAGGTGGTGGTGGGTGCCAGGGTGGTGGTGGAGTGCCAGGGTGGTGGTGGAGTGCCAGGGTGGTGGTGGAGTGCAGGGTGGTGGGTGGGTGCAGGGTGGTGGTGGAGTGCCAGGGTGGTGGTGGAGTGCCAGGGTGGTGGTGGTGCCAGGGTGGTGGTGGAGTGCGGGGTGGTGGTGGAGTGCCAGGGTGGTGGTGGAGTGCCAGGGTGGTGGTGGGTGTGGGGTGGTGGTGGGTGTGGTGGTGGTGGGTGCCAGGGTGGTGGTGGGTGCCAGGTGGTGGTGCCAGGGGTGGTGGTGGGTGCCAGGGTGGTGGTGGGTGCCAGGGTGGTGGTGGTGCCAGGGTGGTGGTGGGTGCCAGGGTGGTGGTGCCAGGGGTGGTGGTGGAGTGCCTGAGTGCTACACAACTAATAATTAAATGGATCTTCTTCCCCTCAGTGAACCTACATTTTCTTCCTCTTCCTTCCTTTCTTCCTTTCGTCTTCTTCTTTCCTTTCTCCTTTATATACTTATCTTCTTCCTGTTTCACCTACTCACCTTCATTCTCCCTCTCTTCTTCCTTCTTACTGTTTATTTTATCTTTTTCCTCTATTTTCCTCCCTCTTTCTTCCTGTCTTCTTCTTCTTCTTTGCTCAAGTCTTCTAACATTCTTTCTCACACAGAAGGTAAACGAAACATTTCAGTCAGACGCGTTAAGTGGCTCTATGTTGTTGACTGTCAGTGTTGCCAGAACAAGACGGTAAGGCGTTGTTTCCGAGTCACAGAACAAGCAGAGGTTTTACGGCCATCGCGTGTTTGGTAACAGCTTTCCTTTTGACAGGCCCATAATTTTACGTGTTCACAGAAATGATTGGTGGATATACTCTCTCTCTCTCTCTCTCTCGCTCTCTCTCTCTCTCTCTCTCTCTCTCTCTCTCTCTCTCTCTCTCTCTCTCTCTCTCTCTCTCTTTCTCTACATACATACAAAAAAAAACACAGAATGAAATGTAAACACAAAACTGTCTGGTAGAGTGGGGAGAGAGTGGGACGAATTGGTAAGTAGGGGAGAGTGGTGAGAGGGCGAGTGAAGAGAGTGTTGTGAGTGGGCGAGTGGAGAGTGTGAGAGTGTTGTGAGAGTAAGTAAAGGGAGAGTGGATGGTGTCACGGGAGTCAGGTAAGAGGCAGGTGTTTAGGTTAACTAGGAGGGGGAGGAAGAGGAGGGAGAGACAGAAGGGGAAGAAGAGGAGGGGAGGAGGAGGGAGAGGCAGAAGGGGAATAAACACGGAATAGAGAAGAATGAGAAATAAGAGATAGGAAACAAGGTCATTCGTCTCTCTGGACAAAACTTCCTCGATCTTCCATTATCTTTCCGTTTCTCTTCCCTATCTTCCTTCCATTCTCCCTTACCTCCACCTTCCTTCCCACATATCACCTCCCATACCATATACACTCCTTCCTTTCCTCCTTCCTCTTCCCTCCCCCACTCTTACCCACTCTTCCTGCCTGTTATAGGAAGCCATTTTTAAAACATGACCTCAGCTCCTTTCCAAATTAGATAAATATCCATACTGTCAATAACTGTTCTTCCACGTAAAGTATTTCTCTGACATTTAAAAGTATACTAGCCAGGAAATCTCTCTCTCTCTCTCTCTCTCTCTCTCTCTCTCTGTCTCGCTCTCTCTCAACATAATATGCTAGGGCTTTTCTTTAATCAAAATCAGGGAAAAAATCCGTAATTACACCAGCGGTGATTCCCTCCCTAATTAGCGCTCGTCAATGCAGTCAGTCGAGTTCACCAGCTAATACGACCCTGGAGGTAAGGTTAATAATATATTGACGAGAGAGAGAGAGAGAGAGAGAGAGAGAGAGAGAGAGAGAGAGAAGACGTGAAACAAGGATGAAACATCAGTATCTATATTTTTTTGCATTTTAAATATCTCTCTCTCTCTCTCTCTCTCTCTCTCTCTCTCTCTCTCTCTCTCTCCATAACGATCCATCCTCTATCATTCCCTCCTTCCATCCTTCTCTCCCTCCTTTCTTCCTTACCTACCCATAATTACGATACATTTTACAGTAACTCCTTCCACTGCTCTGTCCTCCTCCGGTACTTCCTCTAATTGTGACCCATTATTTAATTTCGCTTCATTTAAGTCATCCATAAACAACACCACTGGTATATATGTAAGGGCAGGTACAGGTAACTCACAGATGCAATCACAGGTAAATCACAGGTAATTGTGACCCATTATTTAATTTCGCTTCATTTAAGTCATCCATAAACAACACCACTGGTATATATGTAAGGGCAGGTACAGGTAACTCACAGATGCAATCACAGGTAAATCACAGGTACAGGTACAATCACAGGTAAATCACAGTTACAGGTACATATACAGGTACAATCACAGGTACAGGTACACACTCAGGTACAATCACAGGTATAGATACAAGCACAGGTAGATACATTTCAACATGGTAATCCTTCCTAAAGATGATTCATGGACCATATGACAGTCACCTTGCTAACTTATTCTCCTCACGTTAAATTCATCCACTAAATCTTGGCAAGAAGTAAACCTGGGGGCAATTATTCTACCCAGGATATAACTCGACGTGGAAAATTACAGGGACAGAGATATACTACCTGTGTTTTTTTTTATTTCAGTGACTTAGGGGGAGGGGCAGGGGGGGGGAATTAAAGTGTCATTTTGGCCAATTATTAATTATATTTTACCCCTTCTGTGTGTGTGTGTGTGTGTGAGGGAACTATTTGTATGTTGGTCTATATTTCACAGTGATGTATTTAAGGGTGCGGTGGTCGGGTGGATACAACTCTCGATGACTGTTCTATCTGCCTTTGGTTCTATCCCGAGGCCCTCCTAGTCTACCCAGCTGTAAATGGTGTTAGAGTTATTCTTATAAGTTTGATATTTATTCATACAGTA